CTCTCTCTCTCTCTCTCTCTCTCTCTCTCTCTCTCTCTCTCTCTCTGACCTTATTTTTCCCAATAAAAATATTGTATCAGGCTCTCTCATCATTTCTTCAAGGATAGAAAGAGAATATCTTTTATTTTGGGGAGAGTTAATCCATGTCATGGAGCCTGTGTAGAAGCCAGAGGACATTTCTCTGGAGTTGGTTCCCTCCTTCTAACTTTACATGGGCTCCAGGGATTGAACTTGGTTCATCAGGCTTGCCTGGCAATCATCTTCTCTACTGTGCCATTTCATTGGCCTGAAAACAAAGTTAAGTGTAGGATTGCTGAAATGTGAGAGGTGGGAATAAAGTTCCACCGTAATATCCTTTGTATAGAAGTCCAAGCCCCAAAAGAATCATTTGTGACAATAATAAAAGTGCTTAAATAGAGGGCTGAGATTGGGTTGTGGATGTCCTGATTCTAAGAAGGCATTTGCTGTCTGTCTCTGGGCCCCAACTCAACAAATCATTAGAACCCAAACCAGTAAAAGCAAGCCAACACCGATGTCTCATTGGCAGGTATCTGAACTTTCTTTAACAACCACCAACTGTTTCTGCCATGTTCATCTCCAACCATTCCAGCTTCATAACTTTCACTCTGATGGGTGTGCCTGGCTTAGAGTCACAGCACGTGTGGCTCTCTGTTCCCTTCTCCTCCGTGTTCTTGGTTATCCTCATTGGAAATGGTGCTATCCTCTTCCTGGTTGTCACAGAGCCCACACTCCACACACCAATGCACCTGCTCCTGGCCCTACTGATGATAGCTGACCTCATCTCCACTTTCGCTCTGCTGCCCAAGGTCCTGTGCCTCTTCTGGTTTGATGATGGAGACATAGCTTCCCAGGCCTGTTTTACCCAAATGTTTTTCATCCATGGAGCATCTGTGGTACGATCAGCACTACTTGTTGCAATGGCCTTTGACCGCTTTTTGGCTGTGTGTGAGCCATTACGATACAACACAATTCTGAGCCATTCCCTGGTTGGACGCCTGGGACTGATGGCTCTAGCTAAGGGTGTGATTCTTATCCTGCCTATGCCTCTTCTACTTCAGAGGTTGACTTTCTGCCACGTAGTTATTCCTCACACATACTGTGACCACATGGCTGTGGTAAAAATGGCCTGTAGCAATACAAAGCCCAACCGTATTTATGGGCTCTTCGTGGTCTTGCTTGTGGTGGGACTTGACCTGCTGCTGATTGGCCTCTCATATGCCCTCATCCTTAAGGCTGTGATCCGCCTCAACTCTAGAGATGCCACCTTCAAAGCCCTCAGTACCTGCTCAGCCCACCTCTTTGTCATCCTCATCACTTACTCGCCTGCACTGTTTTCTTCCATCACCCACCGCATTGGCTGCAATATTGCACCTCATGCCCACATTCTGCTTGCCAACCTCTACCTCCTAATACCTTCAATGTTCAACCCCATCATCTATGGTATAAAGATGAAGGAGATACGGGACAAGGTGACAAAATGTCTTCAGAGGAACTTCCTAGTCCTTCAACTAAAGGAACGATGAGGGTGACTGACAAGGCCTTTGACAACTGTCCAAGACCCACCAGTGTGTACAAATGAGCTGTGGAAAGAAGAGACCACAAAGGACTAGTCACTCTCTGTTCATTCTATTTGGTTCTATTTTCTCATTCTCGAATTCTCTGTGTGTTTCTAACTACTGCATTCTTATTGAAAGGAACCCAGCAACACTTCTCTTTGGATAAGACTTTGTAATAACTGTTGAGGAAATGAAAGAGTATTAGAGAGTAATTCTTTCATTCATCATGTTTTTTAAATTTAATAATAATGTGGGATTTCCCCAAAACTGACTGGATGATCGTGTGCATGATAAAAAAGGAAATGTGTGAACACTGTATATAGTTGGGATTCATGAACTATTAAAATGCATATATGAAATGTTTCGCTACAAGGTAAGTCAGGTTTCTAGGTGCATAATTCAAAATACTTCAATGAGAGGGAACGCCATTCTAAAAAAGTGTGTGTGAGTTGGAGGCACTTGTTTCTGAAACTACATTGGTCTTACAGGAACTGACAGAGACTGGCTTAGACCATGCATAAAATTTAGCTTACATTATTGTGACAAAGTATTGCTTTGTTCCTGTTTTGAATCACTGAAATGAGTGAAATTTCTACTAATGGATCAATTCCGTGTGTAAAAAAGCAAATGTAAGACCCTGTTTCTAACAAAAGTCACACCAAATGGAAGTAGAAAGTATAAGAACACAGAGAAATGGGATAATCACTGAATTAGTGTAAGTCAAACCTGGTGACTGAGCTTAAAACCAGGAGAGAAGATCTTACTAAACTCCAGTTAAATTTATGAACTTCTTAAAGGATACCATTATAATGAGCATAACGTGCCTATTATTTTTATATTTTCTTAGGTTTTTGAGAATTCCACATGTGAATATTGCTTTTGCACCACTGCCCCCCCTCTCCATACCCCCCAACTCCTCCAACAGCCCACTCCATCTCACTCCATTCTGTTTCTTGTCTTCTTTATTACTGTTACATATACACACATACATTTATACATATATATACACACATATATAATGCACTGAGTCCATTTAGCAGTGCTTATGTGTACATGTATTTAGGGCTGACCACTTTGCATTAGATAACTTACCATAGAGCTAGTCCCTGGAGAAAACTGAATCTTCCTCCCTCAGGAGCCATTGATTACCTATAGCTCTTCATCTTCAGGGGGGACCCTGTGAAATTCCTCTCATCCACATTGAATATCAGATAGTTTTGTCATTATGCAGGTCTTATTACGCTGTGGCTATTTTGTGGGCGCAGCTTGCCTATCATGTCTGGAAGGCATTATCTAGCAGTAAGCATCCTGTTCTTCAGGCTCTTACAATTTTCCTTCCCCCTCTTCTGTGATGTTCCCTGAGCATGAATGGATGGGCCACATTTTCTTTTCCTTACTTTTTATTAGTTTCAACAGAATTACCATCCGTTAAGGTAGCTCTGTTAGTTATACTAGGTATTTTTATATGTAGTATTTCAACTACAAAGTCAAGCTATATAATAGTATGTCTTACATATTAAGTTGCAAAGGCTTTCCTTTCGTGTGTGTGTGTGTGTGTGTGTGTGTGTGTGTGTGTGTGTGTGTCCCTCCCACAGTCACATAGGCAGTGAACAGTTAGGGCTGCATTCAAATCCTGACTTGACTGTATCTTCCCACTCAACCATGGCTCTTTGAAGAACCATAATGGTTGAAAAAAAATCATGAAGCAAGACTAATAGTTCACAGTGCCTTCAATCTTTAAAAATTCATGACAACTATTGTATGACTGACTACCTTGTTTCCAATAACAAAATTCAATTTAAAAGCTGTTCAAGCATAAGCAGTTTCAAAGTATTTGGAGAACTAAGGACTACACCCTTTTCTGTTACATTGGTCCTCCACTTTGAAAGCCTTGGTACACCTCCATCCACTGTCTACTCTTCTGAGATTCACGCTGTGTTCAGACAGTTCACTATATCCTGTGGGGCTGGCTGAGGTAAATGCCCAAATCCAAGGGGCTGTGTACAAGCAAGGCAGATGGAGCGAGTGTCTGTTGTCCCCTCAATACTTTACTCCTATGTAGAAAAGCAAGAAAATATATGTTTGGTCAATGTTAATATGAAGTGTGGCATTCTCCATATTTTTGTGTCAAGTATCTTTCAGTAAGATAACAAATAATAGCTGAAAAATCTGAAAGCAATTTTAAAAACCTAACCTTTTTTCTCATAATGCTTTTGAGAATCAGGAGTCTAGTAACAACTTGGTAAGTGGTTGTGGTTCAGAATTTTTCATGAGGTATGGTAGTGATGTCAACTGGAGCAAAAGTCCTCTCCAAACTTGACTGGAGCTAAAGGCTATACTTCTAAGAACAAATCCCCATATGACTGTTAACTAGAGGCCCCTGTTTTTGCCACAGACATCGCTCCATAAGGTCACTGTATATCCCGTGGCAATAAATCTAGCTTCCCCCAGAATGAATGGACGAGGATACTATAAAGATGACCTAGCATCAGAAATGATGTATCATCACCTCTGCCACAGTCTAACATCTGTACAGCTTAACCTTGATGCAATGTGTCTCGGGCTTAAAAAAGGCTTGAGTTCTAGGAAGCAGAGAACAACCTTAAATCCAGTTACCATAGTGACTGTGTTCACCTAGGACACTCACCTGAGTGAGAGGCAGTGAAAGCCTGGGCAGTTGATCCCAGATGCCATCTGCAAATGTGTAGGGGTGAGTGTGCACGTGGACATGTAGGTGTATTTTAGCAAACATCTGTACAAAGGAGCATGCTTCTCGCTCTTCATCTCTAGTAGGATACTAGCAAAGGTCAAATGACCCTGTGTTACAGACAGCACAGCCTCACTATAAAAGCCCAGGACTCTACATTGTGATGTTTCATTATTCCATCCTTCATCTTTTCCACTGCTGACACCTCTGTAGCTTAGGTTTCTGTGGTCATATGGTCCAATCAAGAAGGATGGTTTGCACAATAACCTGGACCTGCTATTCCTTCCAATTAAAGCTAGCAGCCTTCCATGTCATCCAGTAGTTGGTTGAATCAATATTCTCAGGTATGAGATGTGTCATAGAGACTCTAAACAGGATTGTTGAGCTCTGTACTCCTTTTGCATAGCAGAAGGATTGTAGATTGTACGAAATGTAGGGAAGATCTAAGTCCAAGGTAGATTGTGCTTTTTAGGGAAGATCTTGGCTTACCCCTAACCCTGGCCCTTGCAAACCTTCACTGAAGTGGCAGGTGCCTGTTGTATTCATAGGATGATTCTCACCTCCTCTGCATGCATGTTTCTAAAGTAGGCCCTAGAATATACATGTATTAGATAATGAGTCATTCCGTGGAGCAGTATGATGTTGCCAGTATAATAACTCAGTGGGACATAATAGATTTCTGTAGACTGTATCATGATACAGGTCAAGAGAGTTAACAAAGACCTGAAACAAAACTGTAAATAAATATCGCTCTTTCCACCAAAATGCCATTTTTCTAATTTAAATAGCAAGAAGTACATTTTACAAATCAGTGACCACATACCGTATGCACAGGGCCTCATGTATACTGTTCTAGTTGTGATACCACATCTGTTTCATCAGCTGTAATCAAAGTGTTTTTTTAAATATTTTATTTATTAGTTTATTTTAATGTATATGAGTGTATTGCCTGCACAGCCCAGAGGAGCAAGCCAGTCAGCAGAATTCCTCCGTGGTTTCTGCTTCAGTACCTGCCCCGGCCTCCCCCAGTGAAGAACTATACTGTAAGCTGAAATAAACTTTCTTCTCCAAGTTGTTTTTAGTCAGAGTGTTTCATTAGAGTAATTTAAAGCTAACTAGGACATAGGTCTTGTTCATCTCTTATGAATCAGAATGCACCTATCTGTGTTACACAGCACATTAAATCCTATGTATCAGCCTGGTAGCCAGGCAAGAGAGTGTTTATTTTCTTTGGGGCTGGGGTACTATAACACTTTGTACATAAGCAATGCTGGACTTTTGCAAGATCTGTATGTCCAAATGATCCATCCATCCAGATTTTGTTTTGAGACAGGGTTTCCCGATAGTCTTAGCTGGCCTAGAACTTGATATATAGACAAGACTGACCTCAGTTACACAGAGATCCACCTGCCTCTGCCTTCCAAGTGCTAAGATTAAAGGCATGTACCACTATGCCCAGAATCCATCCAGATTTTACTGGCTGTGTTACGTTAGCCAAACTTCTAGGTTTGCTTTACCAAAACCCCGAGCAGCAGAACCACTTCTGTTTAATATCTGAATATTTGGATTCTTGTGACTTTCATAACTATGACTTCAGCTGGCTATCCTCTTTTGCCTAATCATCATCCATTACAGGTGTTGGAAATCTTTCATATGCTAACATCACTGCAGCACTCTGGTTCTCACACACAACTATTACATGTCTTCAGGTAATTTTGAGTCTCTCATTACCCTACATGGCATCAACTTGTTCCCAGTAACCAGTGCATCTTGGTGTTTTTAAAAAATACATTTTATTTATTTATTTTTATGTGTATCTAAGTGCACCCTTGTGCAGTGTCCGTGGAGGTCAGCAGAAGGCATCGGATCCACTGGAAGTGGAGTTACAGACAGTCGTTAGCCGCCATGTGGGTGCTGGGATCCGAACTTGGGTCCTCTGCAAGAGTAGCCAGTGCTCTCAACCACTGAGCTGTGTTTCCAGCCCGCTGGTGGATTTTGTAAGCACTGCTTCTTCCACATTTTTTAAAGGACAGTAGCATTGCACTTGAAACGTTACCTCTACTAGTAAAATATTTAGCAACTTAACTGCCACTGCTCATCAAGTCCTGTCTTATTTCACCTGTCAATCAGAAAAGCATCCTCTCCCTGCCAGTTCAAGAGTCTTAGTTCTCTGGGCTAATGTAACATTAGTCTGGGTCTTCTAAAAGCATATGCCAAGATGGGATTAAACATGTCTGGATTTTTTTTTTCCTTCAGGAAA